CCGGTGTCGCACCCGCCCCGCCCCGCCCCGCCCCGCCCCGCCCGCCCCGCCCGCCCCGCCCGCCCCGCCACGGTCCACGCGGCCCTTGCCGCGTGCTTTGCCAGTCACGCACGCACGCACGCGCGCTCGTTCACTCGCTCGCCGCTGGCTTAGACGCTTCGGCACCGTCTCGGTGTTGGGCTCCGCTCGGCTTCACTGGTCACTGCTCAGTGTTCACTGTAGTCTGCCTTGCTGTGACCTGCTGACGGTGCGCTGTGCTGGAGGCGATGCTGGAGCCGGCTTGTGCGCTTCTGGGACGTCAATGTCGCCAGTACCGAGCGTTTCTGTTTTGTGTGGGTTTCTGTTTTGTCACACGCATACTGTCTCAGCACCATGAGGCTCGGCTGCCGGCTATGGCAGGTGAAGCTGAAAATCTGCCAGCCGTATTGGTGGGTTTAGTTGGGTGCTGGGGTTTAATCCGCCTTGTTCCTGCCTCTTCCCTCGCCCCCCCCCCCCCCCCCCCGAGATACCGCACCAGTAATAAGGAGTCCTCTGGGGGCGATTGTCATTGGCTGCCGCACTAGGTATAGCTTAAAATTAGCTTAATACTTGTTGTCTTCTGTAGTATAGTCAGCGGTTGGACTTAGGAAATAATAGCAGATAACAAAAGGGTTTTCGTAGCGTTCCGGGAACCATGCACAATCACTTCACGTTTCGCATGGCGCGTGTTCGTTTTTTTATTGTTGTGTAAATGTCTTTCCTACAGGGTGCGCCAAAGTTATTTTCCCGTTTTCAAAACGTGAGGCACTGAGTAAGTGGCAAGGCACAAGGTCCGTAAACGTGCCATCAATATAATTTTCAGGGACTTTTTGTGGGCATTACTGCTTAAGTTCCGTCAGCATGTTGCTGATTTGGTAACAACGCGTCAAGGTCGTCGGGTGCTTCCTAGAAACGGAATCTGTTGTTGCAAGTCAACCGTCTTTTTTCCTGCTGTTGCAAGACACGTGATCCTTGCGCGAGGAAAATCACAGCGTGGACAGTTCTAAGATTTGAAAAAGACGGATACAAAAGGATATATGATCTATCAAATAAGTTGTGAGGCACCTCGCATTGATCCTTTCATCCAAAAGCTCTGCAAATTTTTAAAAATTTGCTTCAGTCCTCAGAAGTGTCATCACTGTCTGGCCCAAAACTCGGTAGAAACGAAACATGAGTACTGAGGGTAATGACAAGGTTTCTGAAGATGGTTCGTTTTAAGGTTAAAGGTCAAAAGTAAGCTGACTTTCGCTGCGAAATAGTGTGGAGGTGTAGCGATGGATCTGCGAGAAAAGCAGTGGAGACTCGGGAGTGGCTGCAACGGATCCACGGGGCATATTTTCACTTGAGCGGCAGAATAACTGCCAGAACGTTAGGAACACATCCACATGCTAAATTTGCGGACTTGCTCGTTATGGGCGCCAAATGACCACTGCAGTCGGCGCGCCCGAAAACCCTATCAACAAGAAGTGTACCGAGCGACCTCTGCATATGTTAGAGTGCACGTGGTGGTGTTTGGCGGCCCGCGAGGCATGGTTGGGTGCTTTTGGCTCGAGACCAACGACGCAGAGGTGGTTCTATCGACGGGTAGGCAAGTCCCGAAGAAGTTATGGTAACGATTCGCAGATCTAGGTGGCGCTGATAATGCGTGATTTCATGAAGTCGATGCCACTTTAGACAGAGCGGCTGAAACGCTGGGATGGCTACAGGCTGCAGATGGTCGACTTACCTACGGGAGCACATTCACATTTCTTCCCTGGTTTGCGCGTCCTTCCGAATGCCCGCGACACTTTGTGTGCCCTCGGCAGATCATGCGCACAAGCTATGAGGGGGGGGGGGGGGACTAGAGCCCTGCCCGAGCGCCGGCATTATCGTAAAGAGGGGGTATGTGTGTGGGGTAAGGCTCAGTACTGGAGGACTCCCGCATGCCTGCAGTCATGCCCACCACTCCCGACTCTCCGTTATCCCGTAGTCATCAGATGGCCACTGTACGTGGGCCAAGGCCCAGAAGCGGGTCACTCCCGCACGCCTGCAGTCATACCCCACCACTCTCCACTCTCCGTTATCCCGTAGTCATCAGATGGCCACTGTACGTGGGCCAAGGCCCAGAAGCGGGTCACTCCCGCACGCCTGCAGTCATACCCCACCACTCTCCACTCTCCGTCATCCCGTAGCCATCAGATGGCCACTGTACGTGGGCCAAGGCCCAGAAGCGGGTCACTCCCGCACGCCTGCAGTCATGCCCACCACTCCCCACTCTCCGTTATCCCGTAGTCATCAGATGGCCACTGTACGTGGGCCAAGGCCCAGAAGCGGGTCACTCCCGCATGCCTGCAGTCATGCCCACCACTCCCCACTCCCCGTCATCCCGTAGCCATCAGATGGCCACTGCTGGCCAAAAGGGGTTGTAACCCAAACCTAAAGCCGAACGAAATACTGGGGCACCAATCAGCCCCTGGCTGGGCTGTGTGCGCTCCGCACCTTTCACCGCCGGCCACTTCCCTCTGAGGTCACATCAAACACAGAGGGTCAGATCACACAGATCGCGGTCAGCACAGGCTGTACAGGGGTCAATAATAGTGGCGGTCCGTCAGATGTGGCGTGACCTGAGGCCATACGGCATGACCAACCGTCAAACACGTGCGGCGGAATGTGTCCGAAGCCACAGCGAGTGCGAGGGACTAACCTGCCAGCGGGACAGGCAACGTGCTTCATTGGAGAAAAACAGCTTCCGGGGTCACTGTGTTACTGTGCCTCATTTTGCATACCAATCGATGCTTTACATGTTTAGAATTGACTTGGAATGGGTCCCTAATTTTGGCGCACCTGGCTGATCCTACGCCCTAACGATTGCACTTTTTAACTTTGCTACAGTAAAATGACATGAGCTTTTGTGCCGTCGTATGTGTTGACCCATCACAGCAAGTGAAGCGATATATTAACCAGGAACCGGATATCAACCAAATGCCCCGATGCAAACACCGGGGAACGTTGATTGGTGACCACTTGAAACCATGCAACTCTCGTGTATATGGTTTCAGTGGCTCGCTGCATACCGTTAGTCAGATTTGATGTTCGGTTGCAACGGGAGTATTTCACCGACCCCAACCGCCTGGGATGTATTGGGTTGCAAAAACTGTAGGATTTTTTCAAGTTGCATCATGGTATGAAATCATTTCGTACACAACCTTTCCAAGCATGATCTTGTAGTATTTTTTGTGTCGTGCTCGACAACCCTTTAATGGAATCGGTTTACGCGGTATCCCACATGTGCCATTTTCTGACTCTAAAACTACGACAAGCGAAACAAATATAAGCTTGATCTCGACGTGGAATGTAGCAATTTTGTGAAGTCAGGAAAGGGGGAAATTTTCTGCTCCCGGGCGGGCGCGAGTGGATTCGGTAGCAAGAACCCCGCTTAAGCCGTAGATGTGTCAAAGCTTGCGCCATTTTTCATCGCGTTGTCTTTATGGTGGATCATGCACGCTTGGCATTTGCCAGCCGTGCCGGATCCGTCATATTCTTATTCACTTTTACTTATTCTTATTTGGTTCACTTTTATATGAAAGTTGGACTAGTTGTATACCAGTGCCGCACTCGGGCGTTGTCGTTTCTCTGCGTGCCATGCTTACTAGGATTTAGATGGATTTACAAATAATCCATAGATTTAGTTTATAGTTATTTCATGTGCTAAAAATTTCCCAAACATTCACCTGGGAATATTCTCTTCAACTGTGCATTTATTTTACTCTCATTTTAACCTTTTACATTCACACCTAGCTAAGTCGATGGTGTGTTTTAATAAAGTTACTGCGAAGACTCGGCTCCGCAAAATGTATCAACAACTTTGAGTTTTTCGAGTGCTGAACTAAATGTTTCTAAACGTCTGGCAGTGAACTATTGAATGAATCTGTGGGCTTAGTAATATCCCGTCAAGCATACGGTGGGGCAACGCAGCGCCGGTATAGCCATCTCCCGCCGGTGCGGGGTAGCCTGGGCGCCCCGCCCCGCGCCGGCCGGTCGGCCCCGGACCCCTGGCGGCGGCCGCGGCAGCGGGCGTGTGGGGCCCTGGCCGAGGCGGCGGCCGCTGACCGGGCCGGCCCCGTCTCCAGATCCGGTGAAGCCGCAGATGAGCGCGCCCACCCGGCTCGTGTACGGCGTCTGCGTCGACCCGTTCATCGACGACCGGTGAGCGGCGCCGCCGGCTGGCCGTCGCGTGCCGGCACCGTGCCGGACCGGGGCGAGCCGGGCCGGACCGGAGCGAGCCGAGCCGGGCTGCACCGGCGCCACCGATCGCCTCTCGCCGGCCTCCGACACCGCTCGGCTGCTCCGTGCGGTGGCCGCTAGCATCGGGCTACTCTCAGTAGGGCGGGAAGGCATCGCTGTACACTGCGACAATTTCAGCGCGGGCACATTCGCGGTGCACGCCGATAAAATGCGTGTATTGCGTTCAATAGTTTATCATCGACAGGCTGATGAATACGGCGCGGCATTTGCTTGCATTTCAGTTAATCTCCTAGTGAGAAGAGCGTCATGGATGCAGCTGCATGGCAGTGCCCTGTGCAATATTTCCGTTTGCTACTCGCCCACCAGGTGGCTCTGTGCCGGTGGTGTGCTCGTGCGATGGCCAGCCGCGGGCCGCCTGCCAGCCGCTCCGCCCCCCCCCCCCCCCCCCCCGCCCGCAGCTGACGGCACGCACGGTACGTCGGCAGGCTGGCCACCTTCGCCGAGAACCAGGTGGCTATCTGGGACCGGCGTAACTTTGAGAGGCCTGTCATCACGCTCACCGACGCACGCTCAAAGTCCATCTCCAGCATCGGATGGTCACCTACTCGGTGAGAACAATTCTCGAGTCGACCCCCTTCCCCCTCTAAACATAATTCATGGAGCCGACCCCTCTCCTCCCACCTAATTTGCCATTGGCCACGGGTAGACGGTGACTATGGTCCCCACGATCAACCTCAAACTCGCAAATCAATTCACATTTGGCGGCGGTCGTGGCCTGCAACGCTGCATTTTGCCTTGGATTATGTATGCTATGTCTGCATCAGGACGTGATCCCCGCCAGCCGTTAGAGTATGGCGATGGTCGACCGCCACTGTGTGACGCGGCCGCGCGGCCCGGCCGCCGGCCGCTGGCGCCTCAGCCCCAGCGGTGACGGCGCCTGTGCCGCAGGCGGGACCTGCTCTCCTCGCTGGGCAAGGACTCGGGCCTGCTGAAGCTGCACGACGTCAACCACTACTGCGTCAACAACGACGAGATCGAGCCGACGGTGGCCGAGCGTTACGTGGAGAGCTGCGGCGGCGGCCAGCTGACGGACCTCTCGTGGCACCCCACCGACGAGAACCGCATCGTCGTGTCGACCGGGACAGGTCAGAGCATCGGCCGTGACCGGACGGGGACGGGTCAGAGCGCCGGCCGTGACCGGACGGGGACGGGTCAGAGCGCCGGCCGTGACCGGACGGGGACGGGTCAGAGTGCCGGCCGTGACCGGACGGGGACAGGTCAGAGCGCCGGCCGTGACCGGACGGGGACGGGTCAGAGCGCCGGCCGTGACTGGACGGGGACGGGTCAGAGTGCCGGCCGTAACCGGACGGGGACGGGTCGGAGCGCCGGCCGTGACCGGACGGGGACAGACCAGAGCGCCGGCCGTGACCGGACGGGGACGGGTCAGAGCACAGGTCGTGACCGGACGGGGATGGGTCAGAGCGCCAGCCGTGACCGGACGGGGATGGGTCAGAGCGCGTTTCCGCGATTGGTCGCGATGCGGAAGTGCGATCGACTGGTTGACGTCAGAGTCGAATCGTTTCATCGCGCGGTACCGCATCATTGCGCGGCACCGGTCATGGGCAAATCATTGTTCTGGGACCTTACCTCACCTAAACTACCGAGGAACTTCACTTCACGTGATATGCCTTTGCTTTGTTTGGGACATTTATTCTCCGTTACGCGCTGCCAGATTATGCCATAACGCTTACGTTGTCTCGGACGGCGGTCGAAGTGTCTCTTTTCGGCTGTTGATGTTTGTTCTGTAATCAACGTGACGTCACGGTGACTTCGGCGCTCTGGTCGTGCTGTGCACGGGCGCCCTCTACAGCCACTTCTGCTCAGTGTTTGCACGGGCCCGGATGCCGGGTTTAATGTTCAGAGCACAACGGACACCATATAAACCAGGCTACACCACCATAATGTGTCTGGCATTCTTGCGCGCATGGTTCTTTGTTTGATCCGCTGTTATGCATAGGGAAGTCTCTCCAAAAGCTGGACACGGTGTTTTCCCACTCTTTCTCACCGGAAGCTGCTCTGATCTTCGTTTTCTCCCCAGAGTTGCTGTAACACTGCTCAGTCGAGTCAACTGCACGACAACGTCCTCGCCCTCATGCCGTTTGTCGTTGGGAGTAAGGGCAATCTTTCATAGACGTTTTGTTTCCTTAGTAACTGCTAAAGGTGGCACGAAACACGAAATGCGAGAAACAAGGTGGTTCAGTAGCATTGTGTGAGCATCACGAACTGCTGTATTATGTCCGACAGGCAAGCACATCGACTTCACGATTTTCGAGCGGATCACCATGAACTGGTCTCCGTGCTTCTCGTTCGTCTGGTCGAACGGCGGACGCAAGGTGAACCTGGTCGGGGACGAAGACGACATATACGACCAACTGGAGGACATCGCGCTGGTGATGCGCGACCGAGCGCTGCGCGGGTGAGCGGTTGCGGCGCCTGACCCGTCACAGCACGTGCGGCCGTGTCGGCCGGCGCTGCCTGAGGGCTGGCACTCAGGGGCGGGACGCAGCTCTGTTTTTAACCTGGTCGCTTCAGCCGCCGGGGTATTGCTGGCTGGCGCTCTCTGAGGGCTGGCACTCAGGGGCGGGACGCAGCTCTGTTTTGTAACCTGGTCGCTTCAGTCGCCCGGGGTATTGCTCGAGTCTCACATTTAGGGGTGACAGCGTGGCGAGCTGGCCGGGGATTGTCCCGTTTGGCGGGTTATCAGAAAGAAACGAATGGGCTTAGACAGATTGCGCTGGACTTTGTCCCGCTACATGTTGTTGATTATTGTTTGTTTTGTTGCGGTCAAAGAATCTGGCCCATCTGTGCGCGATCAGCGATTGTCATTCGTTGGCAGTCACCGTCGGAATTCTGATGTTGTGAGTTTTCTTTTCAGATAAATACTTTGGTTAGTTAACTCGCCTGTGTTGCAGTCAGGCGTCGCACGACTAGGGCTTACCAGATGTGAATGAGGGTATGGTCTAGAATGTCTCGTTTTGGACCGCCATCTGGCTGTCACAGTTGAAACTGCACACGACTGCGAACCACTCCTTTCAATTTGACTGTTGCGATAGGGATCAGTGGAACGACAGAAGGGCGGCTGTCGCGTGACCGACGCCTCTCAGCCGGTGGGTCTGCGCCGCGGCGGTGCGTGGCTGGCTGCCTCACGTGAAGCAGCCTGTGGAGGGGGGGGGGGGGGGGGGGCGGACAGGGCCCGGATGGTCAGCTGGACTGCTGACGCCGCCGCCCGCCGGTCGCCAGTTACGGCGTCACAGAGCGGCTCAGGGACAACGTGGCGCTGGCCGGTGACGAAACGCTGCGCAGCGTCTGGAAGTGGATGGCCTACAGCCAGCAGCTGGGCGCCGGCGCCGGCGACGAGACGGGCGCCGCTCCCACGTCCGCGTTCCAGGGCGTCAGGTTAGTGCGCCGGCTGTCAGGTTAGGGCAGACGGAGGCTAGGGCTGCACCACTGTTCTGGACAGAGGCGTTCGGGGCAAGCCAGTATTGCAGCCGGACGCGGAAATACCGACTGCTAACTGCAACGACCGCAAGGAGAGGCAACGACTGCCATCGTGCTCTTGTTTATCCTTTACCCTATTTCTGTAATCAAATTTATTGTCCTAGCTTAACAAGCTTGACAGACGATCGTGTATTTGGATCATGCTGCGAGAGCGCGAAAAAATCAGTTATGCGCAAAAGTGAAAACGCTGAACCCCATTAACCTGTTCGAAATGCTGTTAATCGAACAGTGTATCTTGAATGTAGTGCTGAGTTTTCTGGTGTATCAGTATCTTTGGCCGGCTGCTAACTGAAAACTCAAACAAAAATATCACGTTAAGATTAACGCCTCATGAAATATATTCGCCAAATAGAACCGAAGTGGATGCAGACTAGCACTGCGTATCTAATTAGAACAGGTTGCGATGAGCGTGGCTGGATGAAGACTGCCTAGCCTGCCTGGCTGCGGTGGAGTCGGACGGCCGACTCGGCCCGGGCAGCGGCGGTGGCGCCTGTGCTGACTGTGCGTGGCCGCAGGTCCGTGCTGGCTGGGGACGGCAGCAGCCCGCCCAAGTCGGCCATCGAACTGCGAAGTTGGATCGGGGTCGAGAAGGTCGCCAAGTGCAAGGTCTTCAGGTCTGGCTGGGATCGTGTGTTTCAATGTGTTCTGTCCGTGATTGACTGTCCTGGTGAAAGGCATTGCGTCTGTCCGCCTCAAGGCAGCACGGTTCGCATGCTCTCAAGAGTGTACCACACGTCGGGAGCTTGCGCTTGCCCAGCTGCGCATGGTGCGATGTATCGGGAGAAGAGATTCACTTCCTCTGGCCGTCGTCGGTTGTGACAGGAGGGATAGATCAACTGGTTGTGACTCCTCTATCATTCTGACTGGGACAACAGGTGATCTGATCGTGACTGTGTGCCTGTCGTTGTACCAGGGCTGCAAGACTGACATTGTGATCCTGTGCCTCGCCGGGAACGAGTGTCGATCACACCCGCCGTGTGATCCTGTGACCCGTGGGGAGCCAGCGTCGATCATGACCGCCGTGTGATCCCGTACCCCTCCGGGAGCGAGTGTCGATCACACCCGCCGTGTGATCCTGTGGCCCGTGGGGAGCCAGCGTCGATCATGACCGCCGTGTGATCCCGTACCCCTCCGGGAGCGAGTGTCGATCACACCCGCCGTGTGATCCTGTGACCCGTGGGGAGCCAGCGTCGATCACGACCGCCGTGTGATCCCGTACCCCTCCGGGAGCGAGTGTCGATCACACCCGCCGTGTGATCCTGTGGCCCGTGGGGAGCCAGCGTCGATCATGACCGCCGTGTGATCCCGTACCCCTCCGGGAGCGAGTGTCGATCACACCCGCCGTGTGATCCTGTGACCCGTAGGGAGCCAGCGTCGATCGTGACCGCCGTGTGATCCCGTACCCCTCCGGGAGCGAGTGTCGATCACACCCGCCGTGTGATCCTGTGACCCGTGGGGAGCCAGCGTCGGTCGTGACCGCCGTGTGATCCCGTACCCCTCCGGGAGCGAGTGTCGATCACACCCGCCGTGTGATCCTGTGACCCGTGGGGAGCCAGCGTCGATCATGACCGCCGTGTGATCCCGTACCCCTCCGGGAGCGAGTGTCGATCACACCCGCCGTGTGATCCTGTGACCCGTGGGGGGCCAACGTCGATCGTGACCGCCGTGGGATCCCGTGCCTCGCCGGGAACGAGTGTCGATCATGACCGCCGTCCCGCCGGGAGCGAGTGTCGGTCACGACCGCCGTCCCGCCGGGAGCGAGTGTCGATCATGACCGCCGTCTCGCCGGGAGCGATTGTCGATCACGACCGCCGTCCCGCCGGGAACGAGTGTCGATCACGACCGCCGTCCCGCCGGGAGCGATTGTCGATCATGACCGCCGTCCCGCCGTGAGCGAGTGTCGGTCATGACCGCCGTCCCTCCGGGAGCGAGTGTCGATCACGACCACCGTCCCGCCGGGAGCGAGTGTCGATCATGACCGCCGTCCCGCCGGGAGCGATTGTCGATCATGACCGCCGTTCCGCCGGGAGCGAGTGTCGATCATGACCGCCGTTCCGCCGGGAGCGAGTGTCGATCATGACCGCCGTCCCGCCGGGAGCGATTGTCGATCATGACCGCCGTTCCGCCGGGAGCGAGTGTCGATCATGACCGCCGTCCCGCCGGGAGCGATTGTCGATCATGACCGCCGTTCCGCCGGGAGCGAGTGTCGATCATGACCGCCGTCCCGCCGGGAGCGATTGTCGATCATGACCGCCGTCCTACCGGGAGCGAGTGCTGATCATGACCGTCGTGCGTGGCCACAGGAGCGAGAGCCGGGACCGGGCGCTCCAGCTGTGCGGCTGGGGCGTGGACGAGGTGACGCAGAGCGCGCTGCTGGACGTGCTGGAGCGCGAGGGCAGCTGCTCGCGCGCCGCTGCCGTCGCCGTGTTCCAGCTGACGCTGCGCCGAGCCATCCAGATCCTGCAGCGATCAGAGGACCCCACGCTCAAGGTCCGGGCCGTGCACTGTCCCCTGGTGGCGAACCAGTTTACCTTGATACGTGGTGCCGTAGCCCGGCCGCTCCTCTCTAGTTCGGCTGGCGGGGCCCGTTTTCATAAGGCCGGCATATATCAGTCGCACAACTGTGGTTTGTGTGGCGACGTGAACCGAAATGTCCGCCACTCATGGATGAAGGTGTGCGACTGGCTGGTGGCTGGGCTGTGTGACGCCTTCAAGGTGACTGACAGCCTACTGCGTGGTCGCAACTGTCGAGTCGTGAGTCCTGACTCGAGTCAGTAGCCCGTCGGCGCGCCCTCCGGGCCGTGCCCGTGCGACGGTGGCAGTTTCCGCCATCTGTCGCCAGGTGGTGGCCATGGCGCTGTCGGGCTACACGAACGAGAAGAAGGCGCTGTGGCAGCAGACGAGCGCCGAGCTGCGTCCGTCGCTCACCGACCCGTACATCCGCGCCATCTTCGCTTTCCTGACCGCTGACTCTGACAACTACGACGGCGTTCTGGTCAGTCGCCGACGGGCAGGAGGCTTCCTGGGGTCGGTCTCACCGACGGGTTGGAGGGATGACGTGCTGACGGCCTGTGGTCGAGTGCAGGGCTTGAGGTTTCTGAGGGCTTGACCTGCTATGAGGGGCTTCTGGAGGAACACGGACAGTCTATGGTTGGTCGCTGACAGTTTATTGCTGCTATGACGTCGCGTTGATGGGTGACAGCTGGTTTTGATCCATCTATGGTTGGTCCATGAGAGCCAGCGTTTTCCTGCTACGGACGCGCCGCCAGCGTTCGCTGTGTCATGCTTGCAGAAGGAGTACGGCATGACGGTGCAGGACCGTGTGGCCTTCGCCTGCCGCTTCCTCAGCGACGACCGACTGGCAGAATGCCTGAACCAGATCACGCAAACGCTGAAGAAGGAAGCGAACCTGCAGGCCATCCTGCTGACGGGTATAGCCCCCCCCCCCCCCCCTTTTACGTTGGCCGTCCTGACCATATTAAGGCGAAATGCTTTGGCGCTGCCGGGGCCGGCGTCTTTCCTTTTGTCACCTAAACGCTCCGTGTTAGCCGGTGAATGGGCTGGGATGTGGAAAGGAAGCATGCTGGCCACTCTGGACAGCGACTTTACCCCCAGCCTGTCTCTTTTGTCTGCCCTGATTTCCGGTCCGCCAGCTGATCCGAACACCGCTGCGGCGGTGATGCCGTTGGCAGGCCGCAATGCGCATTCTAGCGGCACTGTGTCATGAGTTGACCTCTGTCCAGCCGAGCCGTGGCGCGGGATGGCCGCTGCCGCTCCGCTGGGGTGACCTCGCCCTGTGTGAGCGGCCGTGCCGTGTTGACACGCGGGACGTCCGCGTGCGTCGCCTGGCAGGCGTGGCCGACGAGGGCCTGGACCTGCTGCAGAACTACGTTAACGTCAGCGGCGACGTGCAGACGGCGGCGCTGATCGCCTCCCACGCCGGTCTGGCCACCGAGCCGCGCGTCGAGGTCTGGATCGACAGGTAAGGCGCGCCAGGTCGGCCTGGACCGGTAGGGGCGGGAGGCCCGGGCCGGTCGGTCGGCTGGCCGGCCGGCCCTCCGCCGTCTCTGGAGCGGACAGATGGCGAGAGGCCGCGGTTGGGTCTGCCAGTCGGAGGCTCGCTTTGCTCCACAGCATTATGTGGATAACACGCTCCTTTCGTCCCCGGCATCATAATTCGTAACGCTACCTACATTCGGCTGAAGCTGATCTTAAGATGACGTGTGTCAGCTTCATTCCGCTGGGAACTTGCCATGTGAGATAAAGTCGCTGTGTGGCTTTGCTGCCGTTGCTTGGTGTTGCTGTGTGCCCGTGTCTGATTCTGCACGTCTCGTGCCCGGCCAGTTACCGGGAGATGCTGGATCTGTGGCGACTCTGGAATCAGCGAGCTCTCTTCGACGTGCGCGTGCTCAGTCAGACCGCCGAAGTGCCGCAGTACCCGAAGCAGGTCAGCAGCGCGCACACACCCCGTGGAAGCTGGAGAAACGGGACGAGAGGTGGCGGCCGGGCGGCCGGCAGGGGGCGGGCCCGGTCGCTGGGACTGGTGGTCGCTGGGACCGGTCGCCGCTGGGACCGGTCGCCGCTGGAACCAGTGGTCGCTGGGACCGGTCGCCGCTGGCATGGCCACCGCGTGCATAATGGAGGATTGTTGATAACAGATTACGGAAGCACTTCGGTTAACGTCACACGTTTTTTCAAATGTCAGTCTCTCGCCACGTACCGTTCTGGAAAGCGTGGCATGTCTAGAGATGACTTTCCTTTGTGCATCGATTTGATGCTGTAGTGATTGGATTTTAAGTTGGCTGAGGTGCGCTGAGTGCGGTACATTGCTGTCTTTTCTTAATCGATTTGATGCTGAGATGATTTGATGTTAAGTTGACTGTGTTGCGCTGAGTGGCGCACATTGCTGCGCGTGTAGAAGCCTGCAAGCTGACAGTTTTACGGAAGGATGGAAACGAGGCATCAGTATGGTGGATGGCAAAATTGTTCAAACTATCTTTCTCGTCTGGAGTGTTTGTATGTACACTCGAGTTTTACGGAAGGATGGAGACGTGGCATCAGTGTGGTGGAGGGAAAAAATTGTTCAAACTATCTTTCTCGTCTGGAGTGTTTGTATGTACACTCGAGTTTTACGGAAGGAGGGAGACGAGGCATCAGTATGGTGGATGGAAGAATTGTTCAAACTGTCTTTCCGTCTGGTGTGTTAGTATGTACACTCGCTCATACTATACTCACACACCAGACAAGGACGATGGTTCGAACGATTATAACATCCCTGCAAGTTGATGCTCATCAAGGTCCCGGACTTTAAGTACACGCGAGTCACTTGTGTTCCTTCAAACTTTGTTTCTCAAATCACCAAATCACGGAGCGGGTTTTTGCTGTGGAGACGTTGGTTGTAGTCTATTGATTGGCCTCCGAAGACCATTATTTCAAGTGTGGCGCGTGCTATGTTTCCATTGCAGTGAGCCCTTATTGTCTGTGTTATCCCTCCGCAGTCGGTTGTCGCGTGCAACTTCTGCAACAAGAGCGTGGCGGCCTTCATCGACGACGTCCGAAGGCGGCGACAGATGAGCAGGACAGGTGCCAACTCCTCGGTGAAGGTACGCCTGCGATCTGAGCCAGGCGGTCAGCGGCGGCTGCGCTGTGACGCCTGCTTGCCTGCCTCTCCCGGCGGGACGGTGATACGTGTCATGTCGGGAGTTCTCTCATGCCGAGGAGGGCGCCTGCTCTGCTCAGGTCCGCTGGATCGGGACTCGCTTTGGCTTCCGGCGTGCGCGTGCGGCGGTGCGGTGCGCGCGCGCCGCTGCCGGAGGCCGCCGACCGGCCTGACCGCGTCCGCCTGCTCCGCCAGGTGATGTGCTGTCCCCACTGTCGGAAGCCGCTGCCGCGCTGCGCGCTCTGCCTGACCCAGCTGGGCACGACGGCCGGCAGCTGGGGCGCGGCCGGCCAGGGCAGCGCCGGCTTTGACTCGTGGTTCACCTGGTGCCAGACGTGTCGCCACGGCGGCCACGCCGGTCACATGGTGGCCTGGTTCGAGCAGCACGCCGAGTGTCCCGTCACAGGGTGCCCGTGCAAGTGTATGGGCCTGGACTCGGTGGGCCGCGTGCTGCCCGTGGCCGACAGCTGATGGAGCGGCACGGCGGCGGCGGCGGGGGAGGGGGAGGGGGAGGTAGAGGTCACGGCGCCGGCCGGGCTGCACTGCCGCGAGGATGGGCCGGCTGTTGTATTTGGCCCACCTCGCGGTACGGCTCGGTGTTGGTGTTGGGGCTCACAGATTTGGCAGTGCTCGGCCATGCGCGGTTGTCCGGCAGTTCGATTTGGCAGTCAGGTGGTATATTTGAGTGTTGATGCGCTGTTTAGTGTGCAACGACTGTTGATTTGACTGAAATGCGCGGCACCTCGCCGGGCGTGCCAGTCGGTCGGGCACTGTTGACACCCCATCCATAACCCTAATGAGTCAACGCTATCGTCGCCTTGATGTCAAGAGCACTGTGTGGGACTCCTCAAAGACTGTCGTCATTGCTGTGATGTCCTGGGGTCCGATGTACCTGGTGCAGGTGATGTACCTGATGTACCTGGTAGTCGGTGCAGGGCATGAGTCGGCGCGCCGTCGCCGCCGCGCTGCTGTGTACGTGAGCCGCGCCTGAACCAGCGCTGCAGGGACGCGGGCGCTAGCCGGCCCCGCTATGGCTGGGGCAGTCACCGTGTGACGCAGCAGTTGTCCGTACCGTGGCTGAGCTGCACTGTACGGCGTCCGTAGAGCGCTCCTCCCCCCCCCCCCCCCCTCTCAGGTCGGGCGGTAACGCGTCGCTGCGGGATAAGTGGTTCTCCGGGTCGGCCAACCGTTGACAACATGAGGACATGTCATATGTGGGCTAGTGTAACCATTGCGTTCGTCCCGCCAGTCACGTTTATGAAGTGTGCAAAGAAGGCTTTCATATATTTTGCTGAAGGGCTGCGCGTTCGCCATATTTTGTGCTAGTATGTGGTCTTGTGTTACTCAGTGTCTGATCCTGTACCATGTGAATAAAGGGCAGCAGTACAACCAGGGAGGATGGTGTGGTTCGGGGTAGCAGGAATGTGGGTACAGGTACCGATGTGAGCGGCATAGCTACACACACCGGTCGCAGTACGACCATGGAGGATGGTGTGGTTCGGGGTAGCAGGAATGTGGGGCCAGGTACCGACGTGAGCGGCACAGCTACACACACCGGCAGCAGACTGTACGTCGCTACAATGCTTTGCCAACACGAGTGCCCTTCTCCGCCGAGGTCCGGTCAGTATCTGTTGTAAGATGCGTTCAGACTGAAGAAGCGTGCTGTCGGCAGCGGTCGCGGGATGTTGGAGACCGCTAGACCTTACGGCGGACGTCACGGGGCACGCCGCCCGGAAGCTGAGGAGGCCGAAACTCGGGCTGTGCAAAGGCTTTAAAAAGATGTCCCTGTAACGAATCGCTGTAAAGAATTAATTGCGCGTTGATGAGTTCATGATCACATTTCATCAAATAACAGCCGCATGATCATCATTCAGAGAGAGGAAATTGAATTCGTGGAGTCCTATGCGCGTCACGCGGGCCTGCAGCCCGATAGCCGCAGTTCACTTTTTTAGCCTGGAATGCACATACTACCATCTTTCCTTTCTGCAATGCTGGCTGTACGTAGCCTCATAACCGGTACTCGTTGCAGAGTGTGAAGCGCTAGGTTCCACTGTCGGAAGACTGTGCGCACTTCCGACCACCCGCGACCGGGCTGCTCTCGTGAGCTCCCGCGAAGTGAAGCACAAGGATGTCCGCTGGCGAGGGACGCCACACTTCAATATCCAGTGTGTCCCAATCTTGAGCTAGGACTGGGGTAGGCCCTATACCCGGGTTTGGAACAACTTTCAGCATACAGGGCGCCCGCTCTGGGCTTAGTATGGCCCCTCGCTTGACTTGATGTTCTACTCTCTTCGGTTCGGGGCGCTGCGCTACTTTGGTTTCGTATCGGTGTAACCACGGCTTGGTGTCACTGTGGTCCAGTTCTGCCCTAGTGCCCTTTGATGCGGTCAAAACATAAAAATTCATCCCAACGGCTTTCAGGGCCCGGACCCCACCGACCCCAGCGCCCATGGTTTCGTAGTGTCCGGTTTCGATTTCCTGTAAAAGGAGTTCAGTGACGGGGCGATGTGGAGCCAACGTTTGGTGGTGCTGGGTGATACACAGGCCCAACGTCCCCGTTGGTGTGCCACTGTATGTGCTCTCTAAAAATTGTATCGCTGGCCATTTTATCGTTATGTCGTCCCTCGGCTCTGCTATTGCAATCCCTCTGGGTCATATTTCAAAAACATTCTGTGGTGAAACCTTGAGAAAACTTCAGGGCCACTTCGTCAAATAAATGCACCACCGACGTCATGAGACGGCAGATTCTGCCGAATACAATTGTCAGCTGTCATGGGTAAGAAGTGCCACTTTCGAGCATCTCCAACCCGCATATCGCGGGGTTGCGGGCTTAAAAGTGGCGCCTCTATCGGCGTGAATGACACATTACACATAACGTTAGCCATTTGCACAGCGGGCGGCAAGGGCCAGTTACTGCGAAGCGCATCAGCTGAAGTTTGAGCCAGTGCGTATCCGAGAAACCCAAGGTGGGCTTCAAACAAAGCCATTGTGTTGAGCGTCATAATGTAGATATCGAAGTCATAGTAAATCGTTTCGTTAAATTCGCGATATAATAATGCCACGTTTGCGTATATGGTTCTCTGAAAAATGTTTCCAGCTTTCGTAGCATTTATTACACAAGAATTTTGACCAAAGGATGTGTTGCAAACATGACGGAACACACACGTCGGAAAAGCAAGGGAAATTAAATATATTACGCTCACAGAGGTGAGTAGGGAGTCGAGTGAGATTTCCTCCGCACGACCGGCTACTTGAAAAGGAAATTCTGATTTATGTAGAAGTGTTTCAAGAAAACCGGTATAACGGGTCAAATCGTACGCGTCCGATCTAACAATCAGTGAAAAAGTGGGATGCTGACTTTGAAAGGATTAAACTTAATTATCAGGAACAAGGCATGTTTTGTTTTTCTGAGATCACAGGAAACTTGTTCGGTCATTCGGCGCTTTGAATTTCATGACACCATCATAGCATTTTGCTCTCTCGTGTTGTCTCCGCTATCCCCAACGAAAATTATTGCTGCCAGTACCAGTGTATTACGTCATTCTGCACCAGTGCGCCACCTTTCGTCCCGAAAAGCACCGTTCATGATCGGCACGGCTCCAGACAATGGCCGTCCACAATCAAAGCAAAACAATGTAAGATCAGCTCAGCAAGTTTACAGAAAGCTCCTGTTTCGCGTACTTACGACTATTCTGCCTATCAGGAGCGCTGCCGCTCCAGAGTGCCCCCTCCCAGAGACACAGATTCGCCTCCACCGACCGGTGTTGGGCATCGTCCTCCTCGTGCTCGTCCGACTCACCGCAGGATTGATAGGCACCTGCGTAAACTGAAATTACGTCAGAAAATTTGCGAACGCTGCGGCCCGTGCTTTCTCTGTATTGTTGGGACGCGAATGGCGTCGCCGGTTGCGGGTAGTTGCTTATGCGATGGGGAACAGGGAACAGGCCAGGTCCAGTGCTCCATTTTTTGCTAAGCTCGAGCGCAGGTGTCCTAGAGACTGTCGCATGCAGCACGGGTCTATGTTAGCCACAAATATGAGCATATCGTTATCACAAGGCAATACATTGCCAGAGACTTGCATGATCCAACACTTTGAAAACTGAATCTGACAAGATCTGAAAATTGTGTTATCACAAGGCTTTATAGTGTGGAAATATTGCCACCACATTGCCAGAGGCTTGCGCTGTCTGAACCTGGCGATTTTTGGTTCGGACCGGCATTGACAAAAACAACAAACAAGAAGTATCGCGGTGTAGCTCCTCAGAGGCCCCGCCCACACCCAAGCAGCAAGAAGGCATGAACCATCACCGGAAGTGCCGTGGCGAACTCGGCCGCTTCGACAGCGCAACCAAACTAACGAAAAGGCCCACGTTTGATTTCTGAAGCGGTAGGCGCGCGGTTGGTGGTCTGTGGAGCGCAGATGGCGGCCTCGCTGTCTATTTCCGCCATCAGCCGGCTAGATGTCTAGCGGCAACCGTGCTCCCCGCGACAGCCGCTGCCGGTGTCGGCCGAGGGCGGCCGTCACCCCATCGCCGCTGACGAACGGACAAGACACGGCGTACACCACCATGGCGCTCGCCGCGTCGCCGACGAGGCTTCGCTCCCTTGGCGACTTGGCATCGCAGGCGTCGAAGGCTAGCTCGCCGTCAGTCCGCATCAACCGCATCTGGCCGTCGTCGAGTCGGGCGACGCAGCCGCCGGCGGTAAACCGCGCGTCATCAGACCGCACGGCCTCGGTCAGCACGTGGCGGCGCAGCACGGTGTGTCGCAGTTGGTCGTCCTGATCGGGTTGCCGACGTCAGGCCGGTGCGCACAAGCGCATGTCGCCGCCGGTGGCGACGAGCACAGTGCAGGGTGTGGCGAGCGGCGTCAGGCCGGTACGCACAAGCGCATGCCGCCGTCGGTGGCGACGAGCACAGTGCAGGGTGTCGCGAGCGGCGTCAGGCCGGTACGCACAAGCGCATGTCGCCGCCGGTGGCGACGAGCACAGTGCAGGGTGTGGCGAGCGGCGTCAGGCCGGTACGCACAAGCGCATGCCGCCGTCGGTGGCGACGAGCACAGTGCGGGGTGTGGCGAGCGGCGTCAGGCCGGTGCGCACAAGCGCATGCCGTCGTCGGTGGCGACGAGCACAGTGCAGGGTGTCGCGAGCGGCGTCAGGCCGGCGTCTGGCTCACTCTGCGGCTCTTCCTGCCAGAGCTTCACGAAACGCCCCAGCTCTGAGTCTGCCGAGCCGGTCAGGTGCGCCGCGATGGCCGGCGCGCCATGCTTGTCGCCCATCTGCGAAGCGGACCGGCGGCGCGTGAACGGCCGGAAGTCGACCGCGCACAGGGGTCGGTCTCCCAACGCCCGCCGAGTCCACCCCCGCGGGCTGGATCGGGGTCAGACAGGGGTAACCCAGTGGTGGGTAATGCCTAGCTGGGCCCATCGACGCCAGGCGCGACAGCGTTTCGCTTCATCCTAGAATGCAATACTAT